TAAGGAGCAGCTCTACAGTTGACTCTATAGCAGTAGGTTTGGTTTTGTGTCCGTATTTGTTTACTGTTCCCTACTCCTATCCAGGCAGTTTCCCTTTGCATTTCTGAAAGCATTTCAGTTTGGTTGATAAATTATATGTGGTCACTCTAACCTCTGAATTTAAAGGCATTTTGGCACATTTCTTTCCATGATTGTATAGGATGTTAATTTGGATTTGGGATATATTTTGATCAGAATGTTGAAAATTGCCTAAATTCTTTTTTTCTCTTTATGATGCATTAACAGAGCCAACTGCAATGAGAGAATGGTTATGCAGTAAGCATGCTTCATTCCATTAAAGAGTAATCTGGTGTGGAGGGCAATATGAAGTAATAATGGGTATTCATATGTTCTTCAGCAGACAAGTGCCTCTAGTGCTCTGATAACCACGGAGAGGTTACAGATTTTGAATGTGAACTGCTTTGCCCTGGAGGTTAATGTGAATTTTTTACATTTTCAATAGCTCTCAGATGTGGCTAATTATTTTTTATTTTGAAAATTCCTGTAACGTGGACTTTAACTATATGTAGATATAAATGACAGAATAGCCAATTTCATAGTATTGGAATGTTAGGTCATTTTGGTATCTTATTTCATGTACTATAGATTTAGATTTTCATGCATTCCTGTTTAATGCTTTTCTTTCAACCTAGATGAGGCTGTGTTATCCTTTCACGATCTCACGTATCTATTTTAAACCAAATAGGGTTTAAAGAGTGAAATCACTGTGGGGCATTGCAGGGGTCAGTTTAACACTGCTTTCCCTGCCCAGAACATACTGCATTCAATCAGGCTAGCTGATGCTCATCTTTGAAATATCAGAAATGACTAGAGTAAAGTGAAATACAGTCTTAAAATGAGGGTTATATCAGACTATGTATAGTCTATTGGAAGTAGAGGAAGGAAATCTACTTTATATTCCTGGTGAAGATGTCACCTATACTAATGCTTAAGTGAATGTCTTAGTTTTGGTGGTAGTATAAGAAATATAAAACATAGCCCCAAATCACTGACTTCATACCTCAGTTTTACCATTTGGAATTAAGTTAGTATAACTTTGTATGTAAAGAAAACTTGGTATGCTGTAGGTGCGGAAGTTAAACTTTCCTCTGGAAGAAAATTCTATATCCCTTTGATACATATTCTTATTCAGATTTAAATTAGACATGATAATAGTTGTTTTTCTTCCCTTTGAATTAAGGTTTATTTTTTTTCATGATATAGTCACAATACTGCGCTCATATAGTTGAAGTTTATTGTTTATCTATAATTATGATTCAAATACATTGATGAAGGTGGTGGTTGCTGTATGCCGTCGAATTGGTTCTGACTCATAGCCACCATGTACCAGGTTTCCAAGGATGTAAATCTTTATGGGAACAGAAATCCTCATTTTTCTCTTGTGGAGTGATTGGTAGTTTCAAACTGCTGACCTTTTGGTTAGCAGCCCAGATCATAATCCACTGTGCTTCCAGGGATCCTTCCAATACCTTGATAGAACAGAACAATAAAAATATACTCTTCAGCACTCTCAAATTGTGCTTTGGTAGCATAGTGGTTACAAATTGGGCTGCGAACTGCAAGGTCAGCAGTTCGAAACTACCAGCTGTTCCATGGGAGTAAGATGAGGCTTTCTGCTCCCATAAAGATTTACAGCCTCGGAAACCCTGTACAGGATCACTATGAGTCAGAACCGACTACACGGCACATAACAACAACAACAAAGCATAGTGGTTACGAATCGGGCTGCTAATCTCATGGTCAGCAGTTCGAAACTACCAGCTGTTCCATGGGAGAAAGATGAGGCTTTCTGCTCCCATAAAGATTTACAGCCTCAGAAACCCTATGTAGGCTCACTATGAGTTGGAACTGACTACACAGCACATGACAACAGCAACTCTTCTGTCAGCCCTTTCATGTTCCTTCTTATTTGACAAGGTTGCTAAATGCTTTCAAGTCAGTTCTGACTCATAGTGACCCTTTATAAGGTTTCCAAAGAGCAGCCAATGTATTTGCACCACCGCCCTTGCAGTTTTCAGTCCAGTTCTAACCCAACAATGCCACTACCTAGTATTGGTGACATTTAAAAAATAAAGAATGATATAAAAAATGAATTGCTGAAATAGCATGTTACAATGCAAGGAACACTGGCTTTGGGGCCATACCAGCTTAGATTTGAATATATGATCTCACTGTGTATGTAACTTCTGAGTCTTAATGTTCTTTGAAATGGAAAAATGTTTTGTGAAGGAAGTAATAAGTATAGAATCTGACTGAGTATACATACAGTGTTGATTGAGCAAAATGATTACTTTTCTGAGAGTTTTAAGGGCAACTACTAATTTGAGGAATACTGGTGTGGTGCTGTAGGATAAGCACTCAAATAAGGTAGGTTTGAACCTCAAGGTCAGCAGTTCAAACTCACCAGCCACTCCTTGGAAACCTTTTACAGGGTTGCTATGAATTGAAACCAACATGATGGCCCTTAACAACAACTACACATTAAGTTTGAGGTCACAGTCCCTAAGACCTCCCTCACTTCCTAACAACAATTGTAGGTTTAGGAGTTTCCCTAAACCATCCTCATGTTTGATAACTCACTGGAAGGACTCATTGGAAACTATATTATCCTTACAGTTTATTACCAAGAAAGGATACAGATGAAAATCAGTCAAGGGAAGACACTGTGTTGTGTATTCTCTGTGGAGTTAATGAGGTGCTCTGTCTTGATATTGATTTGTGACAATACCCACAGAATATTGCCAGCTGTGAGAGCTCATTCAAGCCTCAGTGTTCAGACGTTATATTGGTGCTGCATTACTATGGTGTACTTGATTGATTGATTGATTGATTGATTGATTGATTGATTGATTACCAATGTGATTGACTTTAATCCCAAGGTGATTGAAATCATGTCACCCAAACCCCTACCCTAAATCAGTCTTTCGGCATGGCCAGCTTCCATTTTGGTTTTGCTGATCACATTGTTAGGCTATCCTGTCTGATCAGAGACCCTCATGTAAACAAACTCCTACCTTCTGTAATTTCCAAGGACACAGACATTACCTCCCAAAAGCCAGAGCAAACTCTTGGTTTGGGCAAGGCCAAATTCTTTACTATTCAATGTCTCTTCTGCAAACTTTTTTTCCTGATAAATGTTTGAATTCTATTTGCATTAATTTATCTCAAAAGGTCAGTATATTTTTTGTGTAAAGTAACTAAATTACTGTATTAGTTTCCTTTTACTGTATAATAAAATTAGCAGTTTAAAACAACAAATATTATCTCGCAGTAATGTAAGACATTAAGTATCAGCTTAAGTTGGCTAGTTCTGGCTCATGGTTGCTAATGAGATTGCAGTCAGCCTGTCAACTGGAGATTCATTCTGGGCTGAAGATTCACTTCCAAGCTCACTGCACTTGGAAAAATGCTTCAGTTTCTTGTCACATAGGTCTCTCCCAGGATGTTCACCACAAATCTCTCAGAACAAGTGACTTAAGAGACTGGTAGAGTGCCATTAAAATGGAACTGCTGATTATAAGCTCATCTTCAAAGTGACATACTATTATTCCTGCCATATTCCATTGGCCACTGACCAATTCTTTCACAGTCTTGGGAAGGAGTACACAGGGCATGACTACTAGCAGGCAGAGATTATTGGGGTCCTATTTTTGAGGCTGACTCTCAGAGTCTCTACACACCTTTATTAAAATTTTTTATTTAGTGACTTATTTTACTGAGTAACTAAGTGAACATTTTCCATTTTTGAAAAATGAAAGCTATTAAACACACTTTAACCCTTTATTGATCATTTGGATTTATCCTGTGAACATCATATTGTAAGAAAAATTGTTGCTATTGTTATGTGCCATTGAGTCAATTCCAACTCATAGTGACCCTGATCAGGGTTTCCAGGGAACAGCTTAGTGGATTTGAACTGCTGGCCTTGTGGTTCACAGTCCATTGCTCATGCTACAGAGCTACACCCGGAGTCTGCAAGGACAGTAGAAAGTGGATATTTACCTTTTCTGTATTAATGGCTTTGTTTTTTGAGGTTTTATAAATCCTATGGGGAGGGTGTAAATCACTAGTTATTACTTGATTCCTCTTTAAGGCTTTCTGTTTTTTAACCAGTAACCACTCATATTCAGACTATTGTTGTTGATAAGTCCAGTCAAGTTGATTACCAACTTCGTTGGTTCAAACTAACAGCCATGATGGCTCATTGTGACCCTGTATAGGAGTCCTGGTGTGGTGCTGTGGGTTAATGGTAAAGCTATTAAACACAATTTAACCCTTTATTGATCATTTGGATTTATCCTGTGAACATCATATTGTAAGAACAGTTTTTTGGTGTTTTTTTTTTTGTGTGTGTGTGTGTGCCAGACTGAAAAGCTGTTTGGACTGCAAGGTCTGCAGTTCAAGCTTACCAGCTGCTCCTCAGAAACCCTGTACAGGGACACTATGGGTTAGAACCGACTCGATGGCACTTAACAACAACAACATAGGGTTTCTGAGAACCAACTGATGGGTTTGAACTGCTGACCTTTTGGTTAGCGGGCCAGTGCTTATGCTGTAGCACCACACTATGACTCCATTAAGAATTATCTTGTGAGGTTTTCTGGTTGGAAAAGTAGAATTATTTTCAGTACCAAGCCTTTGTAAAGTAATTAGACTTTATCAATGCCCCTTCTGGTTCTTTTCCTTGTAGTAGAGTTTTCTAGATTGCTGGTGTTCATTCAAGGTCCAAATCACAAAATGACAAATCCAGAACATATCATGGACATTAAGTGATGAATATTTTTCTACAAAGTTTATTGAATAATTCTTTGCCAAAGTAATATCAGATGTTCAAGAAATTGTAGTGATGTGTAATGACAAAGAAAACATACTGAATTTAGTGTATTTTTAAATATATGTAATGACAAATTGGTTTTGATATAACAATATGTCCTCTCTAGAGAGAAATGGAATCAAACTGGAACTTTGTTGAAGAACTGCTGAAAAAGTCCATCAGTGTCCAGGTATGCAATTAAAGTAAGACAATTTTTAGTTGCAGATTTTATTCATAAGAACCAAGTAAACTTAAAGTGATTTAAATAACAAATTTAGTTTACTTTTTTAAAGGTTGAGATAGAATCATAGTTCTGTGTCAGTAAAGTGTCAGTGCACTAATAGTTCCTATTACTGACTGTCCTTTAAATATTGTTTTATTGTTAATAGTAAATTCTAAGTTAAAGGACAAAGATAATTATCCTAGTTGGCGACTTTGACAAAATACATTCCAAATAAGTAGTAGATGCTTTGGAACTCTAAGCCATACACTGGATGATAGCAAGTCTAGAAGACATGATAAGAGAGATAGGTAGTGGCATTGGAAATTCAACTATATCCTCATCACAGCAGGAAGGTGACTTGCCTTGCTGAACAATTTGTCTTACAGGCTTGAATCATATTGTAACTGATAAGGGCCTAGTTTCTGAGCACTCATTTCATACCTTATCATTTTTCTTTCCTCAGAGCTGTTAATGTAGTGCTTCATGGCCCAGAGGTCAGACTTGACCTCTTTTTAAAAAACAGTTTTAAATACGCTGTTCATCACATCTTTAAACGTATTGTAGCTCTGTAGACTTTTTTCTTAAATTTCGTAATGTAAGTTATCATTTATGTTAAGAGTTTAAAGAAAATTAAGTAAAGGAATGTTTTTATTTAGAAAGTGAATTACTATTCTGTTACTTACGTTTAAAAATAATGTAGAGAATTAAAGAGCAAATGTGGTAGTAAGTTTTGTCATCATGTGGATATTGTATATTTATCTTTGAAAATTAGTTTAGTAGCTTGATCTTGTCTTGTTATCTGTTAACTCTTAATTTTTTATATAAAATATGTTAATTCATTTAGTTATATATAATGGGATTCTTCTGATTATGAACTTAGAATTCTAAATTAGATTATGTTCTAAAGAATGATACATAGATAAGTTGTATTGGAAAGAAAAGAGCTATTATCTTTCTAGAATGCTTTCGCCTTCTATTTTAAAAGTTTTATTGTATTACAAATTTGTTTATTTCTTTCAACTGACCTCTGTTTTTTTTTGTTTGGAAAAGTTGATTTAGTAGCTCAAAAACTTTCATGTGTTTTTTACTTAAAGAATGTTGTTGTGTGCCGTCAAATTGGTTCGGACTCAGCAACCTTATATAGGGTTTCCAAGGAATGACTGGTAATTTTGAACCACCAATTTTGTGGTTAAGGTACTGCATATCCTTCAGTACCACACCTAAAAATTGATCATTATTATTTATATCAGCTATTAGTCTAATCTTTGTTCCTTGATATCGTTTAAAAGCTTCTTCAATAAAATTAAGTGAAAGGAGTTCTGTTTTTTGGATAGTGTTAAATTTTTGCTGAGGAGTCCTAGTGTGGCAGCATAGAATAAGCAAGATTGGCAGTTCAAACTCACCAATTGCTCCTTGAAAACCCTATACAGGGTTGTTATGTGGGAACTGACTCGATGGCACCTAACAACAACTTTTTGCTGAGAGTTACTGAATCTGAGTCAGTAACTGGGAGCAGCTTTAATTACTAAATTAAGTTGTAATTGCTTGTGTCCTTTAAGTTTTCTTCTCCTGGTTCAGCTAGTAACAAATAGTGTGTCCTTAGACACTTAAACACTTCCAATCTGTTTCTATTATACTAGTTTTAAAATTCCCTTCTCTTTTAACAGTATTATGGATTTAATTACTTTCCTTCAGCTACATTTTAAGTTATGGGGTATTTCTTAACAAGGCTGTAGCAGTAAATATATACACACCCACTCCTTGGAAACCTTGTAGAGGGTTGCTATGAGTTGGGACTGACTTGATGGCAGTTAATAACAGCAACAACAACAAAGGTGTTTATGGAGTTTTGGGGTTTTCAAGGAGCAGCTGGTAGGTTTGAGCTTCCTACCTTGAAGCTCTGGTAGTGTAGTGGTTACAAATCGGGCTGTGAACCTTAAGGTCAGCAGTTCAAAACTACCAGCTGCTCCACGGGAGAAAGATGAGGCTTTCTCCTCCCGTAAACATTTACAGCCTCGGAAACCCTGCACAGAGTCGCTATGGGTCGTAACCAACTTGATGGTTACGACCATGTGGTTAGCATGGTAAACAGTCCACACTAGGGAAGCACATTATCTTGTCCTAAGCCATGTAAATTACACAGCAAAAAGAGGCACCAGAGCCCACATCTCAGTTTTTTTCATCAAACATTATTGAGTGTCTTTGATAAACCAGACACTTTGTTAGGCCCAAGGAACCCCTGGTGGGTTAAGTATTTGTCTGCTAACTGTAATGTTGGCTGTTCAAACCCCATCAGCCACTGCTTAGGACAAAGATGAGGCTGTTTGCTTGTGCAAACATTAAAGTCTCTGGAGCAGTTCTTCTTGCTTGTGGGGCCACTTAAGTCAGACTTGACTTGGTGGTGGTGGTGGATGTGAGGCCCTGAGAACAGTAAAATTAGTAGGCCATTATCTTAGTGCTCAGAGAGTTTGCAAACTCTTGAGGGCCTGTTAAGGTGCAGATTAAATTTTATATGGTAAATACGATGCTAACCCGATTCTGACTTACAGACAGCCACCTCATAGGGCAGAGAAGAACTGCCCCATAGTGTTCTCAAGGCTGTGTTCTTTACAGAAGCAGACAGTTAGGACATCATTCTTCCATGGAGTGGCTGGTGGGTTTGAACTACTACCTTCTGGTTAGCAGCTAAGTACTTAATCACTGTGCCACCACAGCTTTTTAGTGCTATGATACAGGGGTTCATAGTATGCTTTGGGAATTAGGAGATTTCCTAGAGGACTGAAGTACATTTTAAAAAATGAATTAGACTTAAACTTTGTTAATAAAATATTCTCTTTGCTATTATTTAATTATGTTTTAGTGATTCTCATTCATTGAATAATTGGCACCAAGGTCACTGTTTTCCCATAATTATTGTGTGATAAGCTTGCTGTCTCAGTTTGTTACTATCCTCATTTCTGTTCTAATCAGATTTGTTTCACTCCTTACCCTTTATCGTACATTTTTTTCATTCATTTTTATTTTGTTCATCTGACCCACACCTTTGACCTTTCTTTTTCTGGCTTGTTTTATATCCTCATCTTTCTCCTTAAACAATTTAGATGACACAACTACAAAATGCATTATTATAATCACTTCATCACGAATACCTTTAATTCTATAGGTGTTAGCCGTTTTAAACCTGACACAACCTACTCTTTATTTTCTCCAGTCACTCACTGCAGCATTTGCCTTTTATTTCCATTCTTCCAGAAACTTTTTGTGGCCCCATCGTATTGCTGGAGAAAACTGTATGGTTTCATTCTTTCTGACTTTACATTCTTGATCATAAGTATCAAATGGCAGTCAGTTGTAGATGGTTTGTGTTTGTACTCTCCAAAAGGGCTTATTTCAGAACTTTTCTTTTACACACAATTCAACACATGCTCTGCCCAAATCCACTCAGCTGGACATCTTACTTCATAGATACTGAGAAAATATAAACAGTCATAGAGAACTCCTTTATCTTTTCACTTTCAAATCTCCTGACACGTTTTCTTTGTATTTGACTTTTCAGTCTGCTTTTCTGTTTACTAGGAGCTCATTGCTTTTATCAAAAGGTTATTCCTCTCCCTGTGCTCTGGATCTTGTCCCTTCTCACCTATTCAAGGACTATACAGTCGCCACTTAGCTACCTCTACTTCCTTACCTGCTATTGCCTCCTCTACACCTCCTGAAATTTTCAGTTTCTAGCAAGGCCCAAATGATTTCCATATTGTCTAGTCCAATGTTTCTTCTTTCTCTTCATCTTAATCTCCTGACAACATTTAGCTCTGTTGACTATTGACCACTGTCCTTTTCTAAAATACTTCTCTTTACTCTCATAAATAGGTAGCCACCTGGTTTCTTGCCTATTTTATTGACTACTTGCTTTTCTTAATTTTCCTTTCTTCTGTTTAATCTTTAAATGTTGGAGTAATAATAGCAAAGGACTCTGAGTTCTGGATCTTTTTCTCTGTTTCTTCTATATTCTTTCCTTGAGTAATTTAGATTCTTACCTTTAATAACCATCAGTTTGACATTAGCTTTCAGATTGATATCAACAACTCTCGCCATTTTTCTGAGTTTTAGGCATATATATTAATAGTCTACTTAACATACCTTATACGCTTTACCCGTCTTTTCCTCCGCTAATCTTTGCCAGTGTAGGAAATAGTACCATCAGCCCATTTTCTTAAGCCCAAACCTGTGAGTTCTTCCTGATTACTCTCTTCTCTTCATACCTTAATGTAAGTCCCATGGGCTCTGTTTCTGAGCATATTTCTAAAGTCGTCTGCTTACGACATTCTTATAGCTATGTGGCATTGCCTTCTAGCTGGTACCTTTGCATCTACTCTTACTCTTTGGATTCTTTCTCCATGCCTGATTCAATGTTGTGTTTTTGAGACAATCAGATTATATATCACTCCTGTGTTTACAGTCTTCCAGTGGCTTCACAACATATTTAAAATAAAACCCAAACTTCTTACTAAGACCTGTAAGTCTTCATATGGGAATGGTCCTTGCCTTTCTTTTACTTAATCCTATAGTACCAAGTTTACTGCTGGCCTGGGAACTTTACGTCTGTTTTCTCCTCCTAGAGTGTACTCTTCTTCCAGGTGTTTAAATGGTTGACTCTTATTTAAATTATTTTGTTCTAATAATACTGTTTCTATTAATAATTTAGTACTCTTTGGCGCCACTCAATCTATAATGGTGTCAGTTTTCTATCATTTACTCTGCCACATAACGCTGCCTTTTGTGTTTTATTTTTCGTAGCAGTTAATTTTGCTTGGATTTGTCTTGCTTGCTTTGGGTGTCCCCTTTTCCCTTTCTCTGAAAAAGTTTGAGCTCTGTTATTTTATCTATAATACCTGATTTATTCATTGCACTGTGTCTAGTACCTTAGAACAATGCTTGGTTGTTGTTAAGTGCCGTTGAGCTCCATACGGTTTCTGAGTAGTGGCTGGTGGGGTTAAGCTGTTGACCTTGCAGTTATCCTACAACACCACACCAGGACTCCACCAGGTATATAGCAGGCTGTGGCACTATAGGGTAAGCACTTTACTGCTAACTGAAAGGTCAGCAGTTGAAACCTACCAGCTGCTCATTGGAAACCATATGCAAGGTCACTGTGAGTCAGAACTGACTTGATTGTACTTGATGACAGCAACAACAACAAGTGAATCATTGGTCTACCAGTGCTTATCATACAGTACCACTCTAGAAATCTACCAGGTGTATGTATGTTTGTTTTTGTTAGGTACCATCTAGTCAGTACCGACTCAAAGCGACCTTATGCACAGCAGAACAAAACACTGCCCAATCCTGGGCCAACCTCACTATCATTGCCACGCTTGAGCCCATTGATGCTGCCACTTTGCCACTCCATCTCGCTGGGGGTCTTGCTCTTTTTCTCTGACCCTCCACCCTACCAAACATGATACAGCTGTTTCTCTTCATTTTGAGTTGTGCTTCATCAGCAAATGAAGATCCCAAGGGCTTTAGTTCCACAGGCTTTACTCCATTCGCGTCATCATGGTCAACTCTACTTTGAGGAGGCAGCTTTTCTCCAGTCGCATTTTGAGTGCATTCCAACATGGGGGGCTCATTTTCCGGCACTATATCTTACAGTGTTTCTCTGCTATTCATAAGATGTTCAATGACTAAATATTCGGAAGTAGTTCGTCACTCCTTCTTCCTAGTCTGTCTTCGCCTAGAAGTTCATATGAAACCTGTCTACCACAGGTGACCCTGCTGGTATTTAAAATACCGGTGTCATATAGTTGTTCAGTTCAGGACTATCTTTTAACCAGGCATGAATGGCTATTTCATCACAGGAATTGTTACTGTTGTTCCTAATTGCCCCCCTGTCAATTATAGCTCAAGGCCCCACACACATGTGGAGCTGAATGTTGTATAGTTTTTCATACTTCCTTTTCCTCCACCACCCTCCACCACAAAAAGTTTAAAATACATGTCCTCTGCAAATCACCTGGATTTTAAAAGAACAACCTTTGTAATCCTGTTAAAGAAATTAAACAAGTGCTTAAATATGACACAACCCTCTGGATTTGAATACATCTTAGTTATTTGAACATTTTTTGGAACTTTTATTCTGGTTTAGATTTCTTTTGTATTCTCTGGGTTTCTTACCCCATCCGATTATAAAACACTGTGTAATTTTTAAATTTTGAAAAGTCAAATTGAGTTATGTAGTTTTCATTATCGAACTGTGTTCTTAGTCTCAACAATGAGTTTTTAGAAATATGAGGTTAAGTCAAAAGGTATTGCTACTAGGGCTTAGACATGCATGTGTTTCAAACAAAATGTTTTTTGTTTTTAAAGTTTTTAGTTTTACACTCATACTATCATTTTTCGTTTCATTGCAATGATTTCAATCCCCTCCATGTATCACCATTCAACAGTATGTTCTTCTATTTTTTTACAAAACATATTTGAACATGTCTCTGTCATCAGTGGCAAGTTGTCTCAATAATACACTTGTCTTAGTCTCGTTAGGGTGACTCCAACAAAAGGCTTGATTTTCTCAGGGAATCTACTAGACCAGTTCAAGCCAAGGCAAAGAGATCATCTCCAAAGGTTATGTTGATTGTGAGACTTCAAAAGAGTAATCTTGGTAGAGTTCTGGAAGGACAGAGACAGGTCATAGATGCTTGTTATGAAGAAGATTTACGAAACAGGCCAGGAAAGTTGGGCCAAGAAATTTTTTGCCATCATGACAATGTATGTACCTGCTCATTCTTCAAGGGTAGCAGTTTTGTCCCACATGAATTCCATCAGGAAACCTTACCCCATCTATCAGACATCCCTAATCTTGTCCCATCGGACTTCTTTTTGAACCCCAAACCCAAAGAATATTGAAAAGAAGCAGAATGTGATGTGAGTTCTTCAAGGATGCCCAAACTGCTACTTTGATGTTTAAATTGAAGAGCATAGAATCTTTTAGAGAAAGGTTAGAGAGATAACACCACCTTGAGAAGTGTACAGGCCTAGATGGAGGATACATTAAAACGACAACACAAAACAATAGCTTCACATTTTGATATGCTTGTTTAATAAATGTTGCTATGATTTTTGTAGCAATACTTTTTGACCAAACCTCATGTATTTTCTGCAAATTTAGATCTTCCGAGCTAAAGAAGTGAATGAGTATGACTTGATGGTTTATAGGAGCTCTGGTAGCATAGTAGTTACGAATCAGGATGCTAACCTGAGGGTCAGCAGTTCAAAACTACCAGCTGTTCCATGGGAGAAAGAGGAGGCTTTCTCCTCCCGTAAAGATTTACAGCCTCAGAAATCCTGTACAGGGTTGCTATGAGTCAGAACAGACTCCACGGCACATACAACACAACAACATTTGTGTTTTGTTAGCACCAGGTCATTAAGTACAATATCTAGTGATAGCATTCATGTTGCCAGAATCCTGTTTCCTCTCTTACAGCTTCAGTTTCTTTTTTAGAATGGTGTACTAGAAGAACAATTACGAATGCATCTTCTTTGTTGTTTGACACTTTGTGATTTATGGGAGCCAAATATTGCAATTGTCAACATTCTATGGGAGTATTATAGTAAAAATATGGTAAGTAAGTATAATGGGGTTTGTTTTTTCCCCTGCTAATATGAAGAATTTACACAAGAGATTAAAGTAGCCTTTTTGTGGTTTAATTATGAATCAGGAACTTTTCTAAAATAGTTAAAATTTTTGTTCAAAGTAGATTGGAATCACTTATGAACAGTTTTTTCTTTCACCTTTGTTTACAGAGCACAGGCCTAAAGGAGAGAGAGCACTGAGTGTCCCAGAATATTTTTAAATCCTCATTTATAAATATTTTCTACATGATTGCTTGGGGCACATTGTATAGGCATGGTTCTCATGACTAAGGCATACTCTTTCCACTTGTATAGCTGACAGGCCATTGGGCAGTTGCATATATTGTCTGGGGAAGAGTTATGACATCATGAGAATTCAGAGGTGTTGCATCTAACCCAGTGTATAGACTCAGACTTTATGAGGTAATATTTGGTGTAAGGAGCTCTGGTAGCGTAGTGGTTACGAATCAGGCTGCGAACCGCAAGGTCAGCAGTTCAAAACTACCAGTGGTTCCTCGGGAGAAAGATGAGGCGGTCTGCTCCTGTAAAGATTTACAGCCTCGAAAACCCTGTGTAGGGTTGCTATGAGTCGGAACCGACTCCACGGCACACAGCATTTGGTGTGGCTCTATGGGTTAATGCGCTAGACTGCAAAGTCAGTTTGAACCACAAGTTTAGCAGTTCAAGATCACCAGCTATTTCTTGGAAACCCTATACAGAGCCGCCATGGGTCAGAATTGACTCAACAGCACTTAACAACACCGTGTGAACTTGGTCTTAAGAGAATGAGTAGAATTTTCAAATTCAGAAGAAGACTGTCCAGGAAGAAATGAGAAAACATGGTCTCTCCTTATAGTGTTAAATAGTTCTGAAGGAGGAGATGTGGAGAGTATAGGAGGTAGGCTAGGTCTAAACTATGAAAGGTGGAAGATAATGAGCAGCTAAATAATGGATTTATTCAGGAGACATTGGGAAGCATGGCTGTGACAGATTAGGTATATGTTGGAGGGTTTTTTTTTCCTTAAAGTAGTATAAAATAATAAATTGGATACAGATGAGTTCATAGTCTGTTGCATTAGATTATGTAGTATAAGCAAGTAATACAATGGATGAAAGTAGAATAAGTACAATGAATTTAGAAAGGAGAGAATAAATTAGTAATAAAAATTTAAGACATATAATAAAGCACTTAATTACATGTTGTACATAGAATATTTATAAGAAAGTAGTAAGCTTGATTTTGGACACATGGACGTATTAAAAATGAGAAAAATACCTTTCTCTAAACATAATGTCAAGCTGATTGAAGAAATGGCTCATTTCACATCTGGAGAAGAATGTATACAAAAGGAATGTGCAGTTTGTTGTCAGTGTCAGAAAGCTGGGAAAGTACCACAGCCAACCAGTCATGTCAAAAGGATGTAGCCGACACCTAAAAAGGGTTTCCATTACCCAGTACTGGGACCCTCTGAGCGTAAGTAAAGGAATTTAAAGTATACCAAATATGTTTAAATCCCTCAGTTTATGATACTTTTTTTAAAAAGTTATTATTCAAGAAGAAAGGAAAAAACCTTTATTCTGAAAACTATAAATAAAGGAAAATTTAAAGTATATATTCAACCCATTACTACTGAGTTGATTCTGACTGAGTAACTATATAGAGCAGAGTAGGGCTACCCTATAGAGTTTCTGAGGCTGTGATCTCTACGTAAGCAAACTGCCACATATTTGTCACACAGAGCCAGGTGTGCAATTGAACTACTACTAGCCTTTTAGGTTAGCAACTGAGTACTTACTCACTGTGCACCAGGGCTCATATTCTATATTAAAGTAACCAAAGACCTAATGAGCTAATAAATTCCAAAGAAAAACAGAAAACAATCACTTTGTACATCTAATGAAATAAGGCATCAGGGCCTGTTTCATTAAATGTGCAAATCATCGTTGATGTATAAATCATCAATGACTGCTAACTCCATTAAGTAAAGGACTAATGGGGATCACTAAAAGGGATGATTAGGCTGACAACCTGATCTGTCTTAAACCCACAAAAAGAACTGGCAGAACTTGTATGTTCCTTTAGTAGATGCCATAGGAGATACCCTGTATGACCAAGGATAAATTCTTGCTGAAAAACTGTTTCTGACTCTGAACAAGTCTCTAACTACAGCTACCAATTTACAGAAAAGTGGGGATAAATGGATATGTTAAAAGATATGTTAAGTAACACAAGCAGCTAAATCCAGAACATGGGAGATTCTAGAAAGCAAATGACCTGATTTTTCTGTACCTCATTCCGCCCCCTCCAGTATCTAAATGGTAAGGAAAATGTAGGAAAACTTAATATGGTGTAAAGGGAACACTGAATGGTTAAAAATTAGGAAAGGTGTATGCCAGGGTTGTATTCTTTCACCATGCTTATTTAGTCTGTATGCTGAGCAAATAATCCATGAAACAAGTATATAAAGAAAAATGTGGCATCAGGATTAGAGGAAGTCTCATTAATAACCTGCAGTATGCAGATGATACAATCTTGCTTGCTGAAAATGAAGAGGACCTAAAATATTGATGAAGGACGAAAACCACAGCCTTTGGTATGGATTTTACCTCAATGTAAATAAAACAGAATTCCTCATCATTGGACCATAGTAAACAACATCCATATAAATGGAGAAAGGATTGAAGCTATCAAAGACTTCATTTTACTTGGATTCACCATCAGAAGTCATGGAAGCAGCAGTCAAGAAATCAAAAGATATATTGCATTGGGCAAATCTGCTGGAGAAGACCTCTTTAAAGTATTGAAGAGCAAAGATGTCAATTTGAGGACTAAGGTGTATCTGACTCAAACCATGGTATTTTCAATAACCTCATATGTATGCTAAAGTTGGACAGTGAAGAAGGAAGACTGTAGAAGAATTGATGCATTTAAGTTACGATGTTGGAGGAGAATATTAGAAGTATCATAAACTGTCAAATCGGTGTTAGAAAAAGTACAACCAGAATGCTCCTTGGAAACCAGATGGCCATACTTTGGACATACTGTCAGGAGGTACCAGTTCCTGGAGAAGGATATCATGTTTGGTAATGTGGAGGGTCAGGAAAAAAAGGAAGATCCCCAACGAGATGGATTGGCACAGTGGAAGCAGCAATGGGCTCAAATGTAGAAACAATTGTGAGGTTGGCACAGTACTGGGCAGTGTTTCATTCTATTGTGCATAGGGTTGCTGTGAGTTGACACTGACTTGATTGCACATAACGACAACACCAAAAGGAATTTTAAGGGACATATCATTCAGATGCAGTGTTTGAGCAAACCAACTGTTGAAAAGACATTTTAGGAATAGTCCAGAAAGTTGTACAGGTATTCATATGAAATGCTATTTTGGATTATTTACTCATAATAGTTGTGTGATATTTTTGACTAAGATGGTTCAGATTTCTATTGAGCTAAGTGAGATTTGTAGATTTCCATTTTTATTTATTAAGAGACTTAATATTTTTTTCCATCTTGTTTTGTTTTTAGAATAGTTCTTTCAGTATTTCCTGGCTTCCTTTGAAAGGCCTTGCCAATATCATTAAGTCACCATTGTCTATGATAGAAATGGTGAAGATCTGCTGCTGTGATAAACAGGACCACAACCTTTATAAATCCAGCAGTAGTTATACCATTTTCCTTTGCATTTTGGCAAAAGTTCTTAAGAAAGCCATGAAGAACCATGGCCCTCATCCTTGGAAACAAGTCAAAGGAAGGTATGCTGTATACTTCTTTTCTTTTCTTTTTGCCATGATTTCTTTTTAATTTGGGGAAAATGTTAAGTGCTGTGAAGTCAGTTCGACTCATAGTGACTTTAAATAGGGTTTTCGAGGGGCTGCTGGGTTAGAACTGCCAACTTTGTGGTTAACAGTCCAATGCTTTTCCTACAGCTCCACACCAAGAAAGTGTTAACTGTTTATTATTTTTAAGTTCACTCATGCTTAGAGCTTGTGTGATTTGCGCATGTAAAATATAATCCTGAATGTAGGGCAGCAAAATACAGAGCTTTTTCATCTTTTTTGTTACAGTAAGGAATAAACTTTGTTGTCACGTGCTGTAGAGTTGATTCCAACTCATAGTGACCATGTTATATTCTGATGTAAATCTTTGTGGGAGCAGAAAACCTCGGCTTACAAAGCAGATCAGTTTTCCATTCAATAATCCACACACTGTGTGTCATCTCATTGATTGCAGTCCCCACAATGTTCTATCACGTATGCTATTTCTTGTTCGCATTATACCTTCTTCCCTAACCTTTCTGAGCTTGTCTCAAATGGTTGATTATTCTAAGGTGTTTGCACCTTACTAGTGTTACTCTTCCCTTTATGGGCCTGGTTATTGTCTGAGCCATCGGGGTGAGTTCAGCCATTGCAAAGTGATGATAGATCATAGTTCTGGGATTCCCACCAGTCTCTGGTCCTACCAGTAAGCCTAATCTTGAGTTCTGTTCCACTTTTTTCTCCCACTCTATCCAGGACCCACTTCAGAGTATAGCAGTTGGTAGAGGTAGCTGAGTACCAACTAGTTCTAAAGGTTGTGGAGGCTGATGTCTGTGTGGTCCACTATTCCGTTTTTTCCATGCTTCCTCATTTAGACTATACTTTTTTTTTTTTTTTTTTAACATTTTTGTTAAACTCTAGTAATTATATAGCACAAACAGTGGGTTTTTCTTTTTTCCAATCTGCCAATTTGTTTCAGTTCATTCAATAACAAGTCTGTTTATTAGGAAAACTGTTTTCACCAAGTATTGTAATAGGCATAGTGGGGGAATACAAAGATAATTACTTTCAGTAGCTTATCAGCTCTAGTAATTCTTATACTTACAAATAAGTATTTAACCTCTCATGAATAGTGATAATTTCTGCCCTGAATTAATCAATTTTTAGTAGTTGCAAAATTTCACAATCTATAAGTTGGAATTCAAGATGAGTTGTTTTTAATTTTCAGCATTTAATTGATGGAAAAAGTCCTTGGGTGGTGCTGTAGGATACACTATTAAACACAAGGTCAGTGGTTCAAATCCACCAGGCTGCCATTTGTTGGAAGCCTGTTCAGTATTATTATGAGTTGGAATGGACTTGACAGCACTTAATAACTTAACAAAAACAACAATTGATAGAAGAATGTTATAGCAACAGTTCAATTATATTGAATAGTATTGATGAGAGTTTTCTTAATGGCTTATCTTGGACATTTGAACATTAACAATTTTTCTTTACAAACAATAAAATAATTCTTCTAACACCTTGAATTAATTGCCTTAATGTATAAATTAATACAAGAGCAAGTTTTTATAATGGTGAGAAGAGGGGAAAGGGCTTAAGTAAAATTGTTTTATAAAATTGTCAAGATTTTAGTAAACATCATATAGTGCTTAAAAGATTATATATTCTTGTTTGCTAATAAAAATTGGTAAAAATAAGTAAATAAATTAAAAGCCAGATGAGAAAAGATGATTTCTACTGCCCTTTGGACAAGCCACTAAGTCCTTCCATTCACTTATAGGTAATTTGCTACATTATTGAGAAATTTGAAGATAGGGTCAGTCTGTGAGTTTGTTATCTAAGAAGAAAACGTGACATAGCAGCAAAAAATGAAAAATTGACCAAAAATATAAAGTAATGAGACAGTCATGAATATTGAAAGATATTTTTTTTTTAAAGATGTATTTGTGGGAATGAGACAATTTTCTTAAAACAATTTTTTATGTTTTACAGAATATATTCTAAATTCCATCAAAAAAGAATGGAAGAATTAACGGAAGTTGGTCTGCAGAACTTTTTCAGCCTCTTTTTACTGCTAGCAGCTGTTGCAGAGGTAGAAGATGTAGCAAGTCATGTTTTAGACCTCCTAAACTTCCTCAAGTCTGCCTCTATGACGTTGTCTCAAAGGTCCCTCATCTGGAAGGGCCAGATGGCCTTCCTCCTGATGTACGTCCAGAAAAACCTGGACATTAGTGTTTTGGCTGAGAAATTTTCAGGTGCTTTCCGGGAGAAAGCAAAGGAATTCTTAGTATCTAAGAATGAAGAGATAGGGCAGAAACAGACTCTCTGGACACTTCTTGTGATCTACATTGATGGTGTCCAGGAAGTGTTTGAGACCAGCCATTGTTTGCATCCTTCCCATGAAAAACTGCTTAATGATGGATTCACTATGCTTTTGCCAGCTTGTCGAGAATCTGAACTTAGGATACTTCTGAATTTTCTACAAGCTGTTCTGGCCAGAGTCAGGTATGTTTTTCAGTAATGTATTAATTTTTTGATTTGTTTGGTATCTCCGTGTGATTTTTGTATTAAAGTTTTCATGTTGGTATACTTATGAAATCCAAGTGTATAGGAAGAAATTAGTTTTGTTCCTATATTGATATAGATTAGTTTACAAACTGTTCTTTCAAGCAGCTCTGTAAAAGAAACTTTATGTAAACACAAGAGGTCAAACTAAACTCGAGTAGCTCTGGTGTGATCACAGAGCTGCGTCTTGTCTCCCTCTGCTGTTGCTGTTGTCATCTTCGTGGCTGTTGCTAGTTAATGCTTAGTCAGTTCCAACTCAAGGCAAACCCAAGTGTGCAGAGTAGAACTGCACTACATAGGGTTCTCAAGGGTGTGGTGTTTCAGAAGCAGAGAGCCGGGTCTTCCTAGGTGCCTCTGGTTTGAACCACCAAGCTTTGGATTTGCAGTTCAACACTTAACCATTTGTACCAACAAGACTCTATCTTCTACTGTTTCCCCTAAATAAGCATTATTATCCAGGGCTATGGTTCAGATATTATAAGCAAGGTCAAGTGGTTCAGACCCACCAGATGCTACTTGGAAACCCTGTACAGTGTCACTGTGAGTTGGAACCAACGTGATGGTGCTTAGCAACAAAAGGCAACACTATGGGCTCAAATCTGAGATGGCGTTTACTGAAAAGTTTTATGAGCAAAAGGAGATTTGGGCTATATTTACCTTGTTGTTGTTAAGTGCTGTCAAGTCAATTCTGACACACAGCGACCCTGTATAGGGTTTCCATGGAGTAGCTGTTAAACTTGAACCATAGACCTTGTAGTTCAAATGACTACAGTCTGATGCATTACCCACAGCGCCACACCAGGACAGATAAGGGGAAAGAAAAGGTCTCTTTTAAACAACCTGCTGCAAAGTTGTAGCTTTAACTGTGTGAAATACTTCCATTTAAAAAGTTTATCCCAAAATTAATATGGGATTATTTTAATACTAATAATCTGATTAAACCTTAAACTGTTTTCATAGCCACCTAATTGTACCCAGGTGAGATACATTTTTTCCAAATTAATGATGCATAAAAGTAATGGTTATGGTATGTACTGCCTTTAAGGCCCTTTTCCCAGTTCTGTGGTATAGTATGTGTTTTTAAGAAATTAGAATGCCACTTAGAAATTGTATAAAATTTCATTTTAAATCATGTTTTAACTTAGTAGACCATTTCCTTCCCCCCAATATCACATCACAAAAGAAGCATCTTTTTCTGAGGTGCTAAACTCAGCAGTATTTCCAAATTTATTTCATTTCTAATTTACTTCATCTGCGTTTTTGCTAGGCTGTTTTTATATTGATTTATCCATATTTTTCACTGCATTAGACTTTATGTACAGTTTTTATTCTTAAGTCATATGTTTTGAAGACTTATCTTGATCAGTTAACTATCTTCTTACCAGTCAGTGCCGCTATATTGGAACAAGAAACCTGTGTTGGGTAGATGAATAAATAAGTGAATAGCCAACCTTGTAAGAAGTTTTAATTAATTCTGATCTTTTACACAAACTATATTTATAGACTCCTGAGCTGGTGCTGTAGGATCAGCACTGGACTCCAAACCACAAGGTCAGTAGTTCAAACCCATCAGTTACTGCTTGGAAACCGTAGACAGGGTTGCTGTGAGTTGGATCCTACTTGATGGCCCTTAACAACAATAGGTGTTTGTTTTTAATTTAGAAGAGTTTATTTTAGCAGATTTTGTACTTTTCCTAAGTTTCAAATTAATTTAATTTCTTCAGATTCTTAGTGTTAATTGGTATTTCCCTATAACCCCTAGGAAGAAGGAAAGAAATTATTTCTTTTAACATTTTTTGTAATTTTTTTCTAGTAATATTTTTGGTTTGTCCATTTATATTTGGATTGAATTATCATGGTGATAAGGGATTACAGCCCAAGAAGACTCAGGACATGGAATAAAGAAGGAAAGGAGATTGTTCACACACCTACACACACTTTTTACCTTTAATTTTTGCTATTAAAAGTGGGTTGTTAGGTGTGGCGCTTGTAGTATCTGCCTTGGGAACCACAATGTCAGCAGTTCAAACCCACCAGCTGCTCCTTGGAAACTATATTGGGTCTCTATGAGTCTAAACGGACTCTGTGGCACTTAACAGCAACAACTTACTGAAGACTGTTGGTTTCCTGGTTTTTGTAATGTTGTAAGTTACATATGTATTTTTTTAATGCGACATAACTTAGAAAAGAAAAGGTGTAGAGACAAGCAAATCAATTTTATCTGTAATAATCATTTATCTTAGATTTATTAGCACCATTTTGTCCACCTAAATTTCACTCTAAATTTAGTAGAAGTCCCGTTAGTTTAAAATCTAAGCTATTTCAGAGAATTTGGAAAAATACTGCTTTCTATAATCTTGTAAGTGATAATGTGTTTCTGTTAATAACATTATTTCTCTGTGCTGCTCAATTATGATGAAAATAATATTTTATCATAAAAATACCCAAAATCCTTACGTGAATTCCGACTGATAATAGCCCTAAAAGACAGAGTAGAACTCCCCCTGGGGTTTCTTCTGAGGCTGTAGATATTTACAAAAATCGTCTGGCTGAGCATCTCCCACAGAGAATCTTTTGCTTACTCTAGTAGCTGAATGCTTGAACCATTGCATCACTAGAGTTCCCACAACTGCTGCAAAATGCATCAAATCATTTGTAACTATTATTTACAAAAGTAAAGAGGAGTTTTAACACATAGAAGTATGAGGTCAGTATATGAATCAGAATGATATGACAGTTATTGTTGTTAAGTGCCATCGAATCGATTCCGACTCATAGTGACACTATATCGGGTTTTTGTTTTGTTTTGTTCTTTTTGGTAAACAAGTTTTATTGAAACACAGCCATACTTACTCCTTTAAGTACTGTCTATGGTTTCTTTCGCATTGGTTGCAATAGAGACTGTATAAGCCACAAAGATAAGATATTCACTGTCTGTACCTATACAAAGAAAGTTGACTTTCTAGAGAACAGACAACATATGACCACACAAGAACTTTTACAAAAGTGTTTACAGAAGCTATTATAAATAAACATAAAAAACTAGAAATAATCCTAATGTCCTTCAACAAATGAATGGCTATACAAACTGTCGTATGTATACACCATAGACAATATGGTTGCTGTTGTTATTGTTAGGTGTCATGGGCTCAATTTCAACTCATAGAGAGCAACACTGTGAACAAAAGAACAAAACACTGCCTGGTGCTGAATCATCCTCATAATTGTTATGTGTGAACCCATTGTTGTTGCCACTGTGTCACTCCATCTCATTGAGGTCTTCCTCTTTTTCACTGATCCTCCACTTTACCAAGCATGATGTCCTTTTACAGGGATTGGTCCTTCTTTTTTTTTTTTTTTAATTTATTAAATGTTTTTATTTTGGATTGAGTGAAAGTTTACAGGGCACATCATCAGCTTCACATTCAACCATTCATATAGCTTGTTTCATTACATTGATTATTATCCCCTCCGTATATCATCAGTTAACAGTGTTTCTCTCTATCCTCTTTAGCTTTTTGGGGGGATGGGGTAAGGGGGGGACTTGCCTTTTTGTAATTTACAGTCTCGGCTTTTAGGGAAGGTTTTTACATTTGTCTGTGGATATCCAGGGCTCATGTATGAGATTACTAACAAGCATTACTGAATAATCAGATGAGGGACAGTGTGCTATGTCTACTAGGTGGCTAAAGTCTGATCCTCAGAGCCTATGGTTTGGACGGTCAACAACGCTTGGACCCACAGGGTCTTGACCTCCTGACTGGGTCTGTACGGTCTGCATCAGATTCCCCCTTATTTATTGTTTGTTTAAGGGATGCTGCCTGTCTTAGGTGGTCAGTGCGAATTCCTCAGTCTTACCTGTCATCGAAACTCATTGCAGCATGACTGTATCTGGTTTTCAGGGAGCAGATGGTGAGTTTGAACCACCGACTTTGCAGTCTGATACATTAGCCCACAGCACCACACAAGAACACAGCAAGTCTTTATTCATGTTGCCATTTAAAAAATTTCTTAGATTGGAGTGTTAATTTCCCCACAGTTTTTCAGTGAGACTGACTGCAATATATAATGAGTTGACTGGCTGCTACCTGAAAGGTTGGTTTTCAAATCCACTATCCTTTATGCATTAAGGAGCTCTGGTAGCGTAGTGGTTACGAATCGGGCTGCGAACCTTAAGGTCAGCGGTTCGAAACTACCAGCCGCTCCGCAGGAGAAAGATGAGGCTTTCTACTCCCGTAAAGATTTACACCCTCGGAAACCCTGTACAGGGTCGCTATGGGTCGGAACCGACTCGATGGCACTTAACAACAACATCCTTTATGCATTAGGGAAAAGAATAGGCTCTTTGTTTCTGTAAAGATTACAACCCTAGGAACCTGTTTGTTGTTAGGTGCCATCAAGTTGGTACCGATTCATAGTGACCTCATGCACAGCAGAACAAAACACTGCCCGATCCTGGGCCAACCTCACTACTGTTGCCATGCTTGAGTCCTTCGATGCTGCTACTTGGCTAATCCATCTCATTGGGGATCTTCCTCTTTAGAACTATTCTATTCTCTTATATTATGTTCACTGTCAGTCAGAATGGGCTTCTTATCAGTGGATTTGGTTTTTGCTGTTAGGCTTTTTTTGTTTTGTTTTTATTTTTTTGGTCACTTGAGTAGTTTGATTATATTACAGGTTCCATCAGTTTTTAGGTTTGCCAGTACAGATATTGTCAAGATCTTTTGAGAAAGTACCCCAGAGATCTTTCTCATTTAGGATTGTTTCATTTAAGGGGGTGGGGGGAAGGAATTGAAGAAGCCATCTGTCCCTTGCTTATATTTATATGTTCTTTTTTTTAAAGATTTTACTGTTGTGTTGAGTGACTAAAGACTTAACAGAGCAGATCAGTTTTACATTCAGCAAATCATTATAAAGATTATAATCCCCACCATGCA